AAAAAAAACCAAAAGATTTTTTTTTAAGAAAAAATCCTTCAAGGGAGCTGCTTGGAAGTGGCCTCCCCAGGTGCCTTCAGAGAGAATTGTTGTGCGCTTGAGTCTGGGAGCCAGTGACTGTGAGATTTGGGGGAGTGGTCAGGGGGTGGGCCTGGCCAAGGAGAGATGGGAGAAGCTTGGCCAGCACCCCAGGAGGATGTGAGAGGGAGCAGGCAAGGTTAGCAGCTGTGAATGAGAGTGGTCAGGATCTGTCCTGTGAGCAAAGAGATGCTGAGTTCAAACCTTCCACTCTCCCCACTGGGACACCTGCAGCCCTGGCCCCTCAGGGGCATTCAAGCCTGGACTGAAATCATACTATGTTGCCTAATCTTTTTTATTTTTCTGGTAAGATTCTAAGCAGAGAGTGAAAAGGCCTCTCCTGATTCCTTCTGTCCTGAGCAGCTTTTCCTGAAATTGTGACTTGTTCCTAACTCTATTCTCAGGGGCCTGTAGGCACTGCTTCCCACCAGGAATCTAAAGCTTTGTGTTTTGTGGGGGTCAGGGTGAGCAGGGGTGGGAGGAGGTTATTGGAGCTGGGACAGAAGGGTACTCTGCACAAAACTTTTGTCTTGCTATGTGCTGCTTTCTGTGTGAGTATGTGTGGTGAGTAACTTGGGGGGTAGGGATTTGCAATGGAATTTTGGGATCCAAAAGAGTATCCATGGGGATGTTTTTTGCCTAAAAACCCTTCTTTTTGGAACCACACAAAAGTCCTAATATGCTGCTGCCATTATCCCTTCGAGAGGTGGCTCAAAAAACTACAGGGAACTCCAGGTCCATGATTACTGCCTTCTTTTTAAAAGCACAACACTCCTCTTTAACCGTCCCTGCTCCTGTCCCCCTTCTGGCTGAGTCGTGGAGCGACCCTCTTTTCTAGGACAAGAGTTCTCCGTCACTGTGCAATATGGCCTCCGGGCTCCCAGGAGGGTCTGCAGGGGGACTGGCTCTCACAGCCTCCTGGTGCCCCTGGTGGGCTTAGGGAACCATCTCTCGCTCTGCCCTTGGGTCTGTGGCTGGCTGCTCAGCCTTGCAGATACGTCTTGGCTGAGTAGCAGAACGCCCCACGTTCTGCAGGACTGCTTGGTGTTCTTGTAGGGCTGACACTAAAAGCCGAACTTTGGGCATTGTTTTCTTTCCTCCCTGGTGCTCAGAGCACCTGCTGGGAGAGGTTGCTGTCTCCCTCAGTACAATCCAAATTTGTCTGTAGACTTGTGCAATATGTGCTGTTCTGGGCTGGAGAAAAATAGAAATCTACACAGGGAAGAAATCCCCTTCCTTCAGTTTCTCCGTGACATTAGTTAGGGGGGTCCTCATAAGGCCTTGAGCTTTCCCAAACATGGATCCCCTTCAGAAGGACGTAGCAGGAACATCTGGTCAACCTGGCTACCCTGCTGCTGTTGCCCCATAGTGAGCAGCCTTCCTCCCCACTGCCAGTCTCCTCTCCCGGACTTCCTAAGAACTCAATTCTGACTCAAAGGTGCTATTTACCCAACACGCTCCCTACCCATCCCTGCCAGTTCTGCCTCTTCGACTCTCCAGATGGCGAGCTACCTCCCCAGACCCTGTTTCCAGTCTTCATTGCTTTAATGTTCATTTCAGCCCCGTGGACCCAAGAGCTCATTTTCTGGCTTGTGGGTTGAAACAAAGCTGTGAATCTCTGCAGATCGTGTTGTTGCATCTTGTCTGCAAACAGGTCTCTGCCTTTTTATCAGCAGCCTCATGGTCTCAATGCTGAATCTTTTCTCTCTTTGACGTTCACTTTAAAAACAGCAAACCACTCAGAGCTGGACTGTTGAGCAGGCCTGTCTCTCCTACTAAGTAAAAATAAATAATAGTACATTTGTAAGCTAGTCTGACTGCAAAGACAAAGGTTACTAATTGTATAATAGTGTTTTTATATGGAAGAATGTACAGCTTTATGGACAAATGTACACCTTTTTTTGTTACTTTAATAAAAACGTAGCAGGTGAAGTCGTGTGGTGTAGGGAAGGTAAAATTCCCACGTCTCTAATTTGCATTTCCCTCAGATTCAAATCCTTTGTGTCTCAGTATTTCTCTTCATTTGCGTTCAGAAGATCAGTAGCATATGGCTGATAGGAAAGAAAAATCCAGGTGAGAAGTGGGGACATTTCCAAGCATCTCCTCTTTCCAGGGAAATAGCTCCTTACTTCCCTCCTTCAATGCATATTCTAACCTCCCTGTGAAAATACTGGGTGGGCCAGGGCTCCATTAGTCTGAGCATCCCATAGTCTAGCCAGGGCTCATCTGCATCCTGTTCTTGCTCAGCCTTAGTTGCTCTTATTCATTCATTCATTCATTCATTCATTCATTCATTCATTCAGCAAGCAGTTATTGTCAGTAGGTTCTAGGCACTAAAAAAATTTTATTGTCTTAATGATTAAGACACACAGCCTATCTCACAAACTGGGATGGTGAACAGGGGGCACCGAACCCCTTTCCACGTTGGGTAGAATCGTTTGAAATTTCTGGTCCAGGTTTTCTTGTCATCTGTGGGGCTCCCATTTGGCACCCACTCTTCCTATTAGATAAGAGAATTTGGGCCTTAGGCTGCGGGCACTGGAGCTGAACATGTGACTGAAGGCCAGTGTTACCAGTTGTCTAAAGAGCTGCTAATTCTGACGGCAAACACCAAGAGCAAAGGTTTGTAGCCCATTTATGACTCTCTGGCTGTATGGATAGGATCTATGCAAGGAAGCAAGAACAAACTTCATCATCTCTGACTCTCGGGTTTGATCCCTGAGATTCTGACACAGGCCTCCCTGCCCCCACTTCACTTGCTAACTCCCCAGTTCCCACTGAGGTCACAGGTACATTTTGACCTGGGCTAGCTTTATTTTCTTGGCCATAAGTGGGCTGTGAATTTCAAACATACTGACTCATGAACAATGCCCACCACCCAACACACACACTTCATTTCATACCTCCATGACCCTCATCAACAAACATGCGGTTTGACCTAGCTGTCCTGGATGGGGGGTAGGCCTGGGAAGCTGCGTGTGGCACCCTGGGAGGGTAGCTGAGCCAGGAGATGGGGATGGGGAAGCCAGCTCATCTGTATGAATAGAATTGGTTAGGGACACACTTTTTGGCAAGGAGTTCTATAAAGGAATGGTTCCACTTTCATTTCTAGCTTCTAACACAAACGTCCTAGGTACTTATTTGTAAGGACCCCCCTCCCCCCTTTTGGGTGTGAGGACAGGGTTAGGGCGAATTCTTGCCCATCCTGGTGTGCTCTCCTCTTATGCAGTATCAAGTCAGCATCCATCTTCTAGTTTCCTAACAGGCCCCATTCATGAAAGTGATTTCATTGTTCAGCGGAAGGCCTGAGATTCAGGGAGGGTTGTTTGGAGGCTAAGAGGGCATGATCGCTCACCCCTGTTTCCAAGCCGGGGAAACCACAGAATGGCGGATTGATCTTGGCGTTGCTGTTGACTCTAGGCAGATCAGTGGTCCCTCAATTTACATAAGAGGGTTCTGTGATCAAGCGGTGTGGGGTTTACTTTAGATCTGACCAATGTCAGAAGAGGTGGCGAGTCCCCCAGGGCCAGTGAGGGCTGTGGACAGGAAATGCTTGAGGAGCTGCAGTTGGTGACTCTTCTGTGTTCAGATACCAAGCATGTTTGGTTCATCCCGCTCTCGGTTTCCCCCACTTGGTAAACAGTGCCAGCCTGGGAGACCTGGACTCAGTCAGCTGTTTCTGGATGATAAATACCACCCCAGCGAGTGTAGATGAGGCCCTGAGAGCTGCAGATTAAGAGCCCATCCTGGTTCCTGATAAGGAGTTTTGGGTGGGGGACTCTGATGCTGCAACAAACGAGCCCCGGGGGAAGAAACCCACTTCTGAGAGGCCAGTGTCCGCGCCTCGAGCAGCCTGTGGTCAGGAAAGATAGGGAGGGCCCCTGGCTTCCAGGCCGGTTTTGGTAACTGGCCCAACAAAGCACGGTGTGATAGAAAAAGTTCTGGGCTGAGAGGGAGAATGTACGGGTTGTGGCCCGTGTTCCTCCTAACTAGCAGTGTGAGTCTGGACAAGCCCCTCAATTTTCCCGTCTCAGAAATTAGTGGGGCGGGAGGTGGTTGGGGGTGGATTCAATGACCTCTGATCCTTTCTTCAGCTTTTGGTTCTAAATCATTTCATTATCCTGGCAATCACTGGACGGCAAATTAGCACAATGATTATCATTATTTTCAGTTAGTTGAACTGAAAGTTCATTTGGGCTGGGAAGTGGAGTCGGTACCAAC